AGAAAGATAGAGACACAGAACCGGCTCTTCCAACAGTCCAGAGGTTTCTTACCATCTAATGTAAACCTCCAAGCCACTGACCTGCCCAGGAGCCCATCGCAGAGCTGTCACGAAATTGACCAGAATGACAGACTGGCCCAAAAAGCTGAACATTGAGCTATATTTAAAGGGAATACAGCTCAGGTACTGTTGAGGTATATTGCCTCAACTGAGAAAGAAGGGCAAACAAATTCAGAGCTCCCTGAATAACAAAGGAGATAAAATAAAGATTAAAAATTAAAAAATGTGCTTATGGTAAGTCTCAGGTAGAATATACAAATAAGAACCAGTAGAAATACAGAAGGTTCAGAGGGGATCTTCTAAAGCAAATAAGAGAAGCAAAGAGAAATTATGAGAAAAGACTGCAGCCAAGATATTGGGGTGTGCCAAAGTCTCCCATAGGCTATTAAATAGTAAAAGTGTGGTAAAAGGAGGAGTAAGACCATTTATAGACCAGAAAGGGGATTTATAAATACAGGCAGCCAGCATGGCTGAGGTGATAAATAAATATTTTGCATCTTTCTTTACAAAATAGTTAGGTGCTACATGAACCATGTTGAAAGCGAAAGAAACCCCGTCACTAGAAGGGTTCAAAATTGATAGAGCAGAAGGATTCGATTGACTGTTGAGACTTTTAGTATTGACAAGACACCAGGACCAGATGAGATGCATCCAAGCATTTTGAAGGAAATGAGAATAGAGATTGCAAGAGCACTGTCCATAATATTTCAGTTTTCCCTAGGTTTTAGGGAAATAGGGAAGACTGGAAAATTGCAAATATTACAGGCTTGTTCCAGAAAGTTTGTGAAGATAAGCTCAGCAATTACAGACCAGTCAGTTTAGTTTCAGTGGTGGGAAAGTTTCTATGAACAATTATTCACAACTTGGATACAAAATTGGCTGAGTGCTGAAAACAGGGAATGTTAATTAATGGATATTTTTCAGACTGGGGAGATGTTTGTGTTGGATTTCCCAGCAGTTGGCATAAGGACTCTTACTTTTCCTGATCCAGAACTAGGTGTGGAGGGGACAATTTCAAAGTTTGCAGATGACATAAAACTTGAAAGAATTGTAAACTGTGAGGAGGAAAGTATTGAACTCCAGAATGACATAGACAAGTTGGTGGAGTTAGCGGTGACAGATGAGGTTCATTGCAGGAAAGTGTGAAATGATGCATTTTGATAGGAAGACTATTGAAACACAATTTAAAAATAAGCTTACAATTCTAAAGGGAGTGCAAGAGCAGGGGGACTGGGTGTTATCTGTGGACAGCTTATTGAAAGTGGCAGGTCAGAGCAACTAATAAAGCATATAGTGTTCTCAGCTGTATTAATAGGGGAGTAGGGTACAAGAGCAAGGAAGTGACATTTAGCTTGTATAACACACTTGTTAGACCTTAGCTAGAGTATTGCGTACAAATCTGGATGTCACATTGTGGGATAGATGTGTATACATTGGACAGCATGCAGAAGTGATTTACAAGAATAGTTCCAGGGATGAGAAATTTTAGTTTTGAGGATAGATTGAAGAAGTTGGGACTGTTATCCTTGGAAAGAAATAGGTTAAGAGGAGACCTGATAGAGGTTTTGAAAATCATGAGGTGTCTGGCTAGAGTATGTAGAATAAAACTGTTTGCATGCTTAGAAGGATCAAGAACTGAAGGTTTAAAGTGATTTCCAAAAGAAGCCAAATGTAATGCAAGAAAAAACTTTTTCATTCAACTAGTAATTAAGGTACAGAATGGTCTGCTTGGACGTGTGGGAAAGGCAGGTTCAATTGAGGGATTCAATAGGGGACTGTATGGTTATTTAGATATAAATAATTTGCATGGCTATGGGGGCAAAACAAGACATTGGCAGTAAGTAATGGTGTTAATTTGAAGAGCTGGTGCACAGACATGATGGGCCAAATAGCATCCTGTGCTGTAACACTTCTACGATGACTTCCAGCATCCACAATCGGTCACATTTGCACATATCAGTCAGTTACCTGCAACTACCTGTTGCCAGCTCAATCACATACACATCCAATGCCTTGCTATCTTATTTCATCTCCCCTGCTATTTTCAAAGCAACAGTCTAAGCACCGCACACAGTGAATGCCAGTAACTTGCTTTCAAAAGTGCAACAATTACTTCTGCAGTCCTTATTTTTAAAAACTATAACTTTCCTTTTCAGTCCACAACCAAAAACCAAAGAAAAATTAAAAGATCTGGTCTTTACAACATACGCATGCCTTATACATAATCAGAATAGGTGAACTCTTCCATTTTTTCCTACGTGGAACATGAGGTAGGTAAGTCCTTTTCAATTTATTACCATTGAATTACAATGATGGTGTGGTAAGTAGTGAGAAGGAAAGCCTTAGACTATAGGATTATATGGCCAATCTGGAAAGATGGTTTGATAGGTGAGAAATTGAATTTCATCCTGAGAAGTGAAGGTGATGCATTTTAGGAGGACCATTAAGGCAAGGGGGTATATCTTAAACGGTAGGGACTTACAAGGATGTTGCCAGGATTGGCGGGTTTGAGCTATAGAGACAGGCTGAATAGGCTGCTGCTTTTATTTCCCTGGGACATCAGAGACTGAGGGGTGACCTTAGGGAGGCTTATAAAACCATGAAGGATAGGGTCGAAACGTTAGCTTTCCTGCTCCTCTGATGCTGCCTGGCCTGCTGTGTTCCTCCAGCTCCACACTGTGTTATCTCTGACTCCAGCATCTACAGTTCATACTATCTCTGAATGGTCAAGGTATTTTTCCCAGAGGAGGGGAATAAGTTTAAGGGAAAAGTTTAAAGGGGGCCTGAGGGGCAACTTTTTCACATAGACAGTGGTGTATGTATGGAGTGAACTGGCAGAAGAAGTGGTAGGCAGGTACAATTACAATGTTTAAAAGACATCTGGATGAGTAAATGAATAAGAAGGTTTAGAATTAGAATTTGAATTAGAATATCCCTTATTGTCATATGTACTGAAGTATGGAAATCAGGAGTACAGTGAAAAGTTTACAATGTTGGCCCACATTGGCACCATCTTAGGTACAAAGTATTTAGGTACAGATCGTAGATACAAAATAGAGAAATAAAGGGAAAAAAAAAATAAAAAAGCACATTACTTACAGTTTTTCATAGTATAAATTAGAAAAATGGGAAATAAAGGTAAAAAGATAAGCTTTACAGTCTTTCCATGAACGGCTTGCGGTAGATCAGTGCAGGGGGCTTCCACACATGGTCTGACCAGGCTGGTAAGCTGTTGACCATCAGCACTGGTTCCCAAATGCTAGCAAATGGGACTCGATCAGTTTAGGACATCTGTTGGACCATAGGGTCTGTTTCCATGCTGTATAACTCTATGGCTCTATAAGTACGAAAACCAGAGGGACTTTGGTGCTTATGTCGATTGCTCCCTAAAGGCAACAAGCCTGGCAGATAAAGTTGTTGAAAAGACATACTTGCCTCTATTCGTCAAGGCTTTGAATACAAGCGCAAGGAGGTTGTGAGGAGCTGTATATAACATTAGTTAGGTCACAGGTGGAATACTGTATGCACTTCTGGCTAGCACACTCTCAGAAGCATGTGATTGTTCTGGACAGAGTGTAGAGCAGAATCACTAGATGTTGTCTGATCTCGGGCAATTCAGCTACAGAGAGAGATTGGACAGGTTAGTGTGGTTTCCCTCACAGCAGAGAAGGTGGGGTTGGGGGAGGGGTCTAATCGAGGTGTACAAAGTTCTGAGGGGCATGAACAGGTAGATAGGGGAAAATGTTTCTCCCATTATTGGATTGGTCAATAACCAGAGGCCACAGTCTTAAGAGATAGTAGGAACTGCAGATGCTGGAGAATCCGAGATAACAAGGTGTAGAGCTGGATGAACACAGCAGGCCAAGCAGCATCAGACGAGCAGGAAAGCTGACATTTTGGGCTAGACCCTTCTTCAGAAATGGGGGGAGGGGGTTCTGAAATAAATAGGGAGAGAGGGGGAGGCGGATAGAAGATGGATAGAGGAGACAGACGGGTCAAAGTGGCGGGGATGAAGCCAGTAATGGTGAGTGTAGGTGTGGAGGTAGGGAGGAGATAGGTCAGTCCAGGTCTTAAGGTAAGGAGCAAGATGTTTAAAGAGGATTCCAGGAAAGAATTTTTCACCCAGGAGATTCTGGGTGTGTGGAACTCTCTGTCGAGGCACGAACCTTCAAGCTATTGAAGAACGATTTAAATGAATACTTGAAACACCATAATATACAGGGCTTTGGGGCAAGCGATGGAGAAGGCGGGATTAAAATAGAGAGACATTTAATGACAGTCACAGACACGAAGCGTTACAGAGTCTCCTTCCATACCATAAAAATCAATGACTCTACTTCCAAACGACCTCGCTATTCACTTCCCTGGACAACATTCTGGGTCAAACCTGTGGGGTTGAGTTGCATCGCCGGAGAGTTCAGCACAAAGTCTAGGCTAACACACCCAGTGCAGTATACATGGGGAGCACTGCACTGTCCCAGCCACAGTTTTTGGGGGGAAATGTTAAATTTGGTCACCCCGCCCCCCAAGATGGCAGGGTGATCCCAAGGTACAAATTTCGCGGGATTTGCCCTTGGTCTCCTGCCCAACATTTAATCCTCAATCAACATCACCAAACGTTGCTGTTTGCAGGAGCTTACTAGGAGTAAATACCCTGCAGCGTGTCCTTACGCTACAACACTTCCGAAGCACTTGAGGGTCTGTGAAGGGATGGGGGGAAATGTGCTGAGAAAGGGGCTTTATAAATGCAAATCCTTTCCATTCGCGTGACATGGCGGAATGAGATTTGAATTAAAATACAAACACGTCCCGGAGAAGCGGGGAGAGAAAGAGATTCATCCCGATAGTAGTGAGACCTCTCCCTGGAGAATTCATTTCATCCTATGCCCGTGAACTGGGAGGAGATGGGAGGCGTGTGCCGTCTGCTGTCGGCAGATCTCTTGTCACTTTCTCTCCGCCCCCGAGTCTGACTCGGTCAGTTTCACCGGGTGTAGGAGGAGGGGGAAGCGGTGAAAGCAGAAGGCTCGGATCCCGTGTTAGCGAGAGGGTTTTATCCACCCCAACCCACACATATAAAATGCTAGAGAAAGGACTAAAAATAAACCGAATGACAAGATGAAGTGCCCACACCTTTCGCGGAGAACAGATGACTGAAAGGGAAATTGAAAGGGGGTTCTCAATGGTTGGTTTCACGCAGCTGAAACCCTACGGACTGAGAGAAGGAATCGCCTCAGATTGTCAACTTGATGTACAACCTTTATTTTCCCAAAAGCCGGCGATTTGCACCCGCTCCTGAACACTAAAGTTATTTTTATTATCTGTTAATTAATCAATCAACAGCTCATTGCAGTGGGAGAAAACGAGGCTTTCCTCAGACGCAGGTGAGATGTATGAATTTATTCCAATTATTTATTTTCCTTTTTTCTAAAAAAAAAGAAATCCGTGCTAGCTTTGAGCGCTACCAATAATGTAGGGGCTGTTGTGTGTGAGCGTAAAGAGAGAGAGAATATGTCCTACATGTATTATATGGGAATAGGCCGATTGCCGGGTGGGTTTCAACATTCGAGATGGTTTAAACGAGACTTGTGTAAGGGGTCAGATAGGTTTGGTTTTTGCCAACTTCTTCGTTCGTTTCGTCATGGGGTGGACACAGACTGGGGACCGAGAAATGATGCCTATCCAGAAATGGTTCAGGTATCTGTGGGTTTGTCATTTTGCAGCCCCACCGCTTTCTTTCTCAAATGACTAACACCATAGGGCGGTCGATAGCCTATTTTTTTAAAATCTGCTTTGTGTTTTATTTTGAACGCAGTTAGTGGCGCTGAAGGTTCTTTATGTTTTGCACAAAGTGTTGTTTCTCTCCCGTGTTAGCTGTATTTTCGAATGCACTGAGATAGGGAGCGGCGCTCATTTGCACGCATTAATCGGTTTTTTTTTCTGTTTTGTTTTCCTCCCCTCCGCTTAAAGGAGCCGTCCCCTCACCCCGAGTGCTTGGATTGATAATCCTCAGACAGTGTGTGTGTGTGTGGGACAACGCTCGGGTTAGAATGGGTACAGTCCTGTCGCTGTCTCCCGGCTCGAGGAGATCCAGTATATTGGAGGATGGCACCGAGTCCAAGTCCTTAGGTCACTACCACGCTATCCAAAGCGCTAAGAACAACACCCAGAAGGAGAAGGGTCTCAAACGCCATTCCATGTTCATCCCAGCCTTGACTTGGAAGAGGCTAGTCGCCTCCACCAAGAAGAGGAGCTCTAGAAAACCGAACCCTGGTAACTACCATCACCAGAACGATGTGGTCCATCTCAACAGCGAGAATGTGAAGAAGTCTCTGTCCTGCGCCAACCTTTCCAGCTACGAGTTACAAGCGGACCCCTCGGGCACCAAGCCAGCCTCTTCCAACAAGAAAACAGCTTCACAGAGCGGGCCCGGCTCCCCCAAGCGGGTGATAGTGCAGGCATCCACTAGTGAGCTGCTGAAGTGCCTGGGGGAATTCCTGTGCCGCCGCTGCTATAAACTCAAGCATTTAGCTCCCACCGAGCCGGTGCTGTGGTTGCGCAGCGTTGACCGCTCCTTGCTCCTCCAAGGCTGGCAGGACCAGGCGTTCGTCACCCCGGCCAATGTGGTCTTTGTCTACCTGCTCTGCAGAGATGTCATCGACGGAGAGCAGGTGACCACCGAACATGACCTGCAAGCCAACCTGCTGACCTGCCTCTATCTCTCCTACTCCTACATGGGCAATGAAATCTCCTACCCACTGAAACCCTTCCTGGTGGAGAGCGCTAAGGACGCTTTCTGGGACCGCTGCCTCCGCATCATTGACACCATGAGCAGCAAGATGCTTCAGATCAACGCCGACCCTCACTATTTCACCCAGGTCTTTGCCGATCTCAAAAACGAAGGGACCCCAGATGAATTTAGTAGGATTTCCCTTACTTTGGACCGGTGACTCATCGGGGGGGGGGAGGGGAAATAAGGTCTGAGGTCCGCCCCTGGCTGATTGGCCAGGCGGAGCTGCTTAGTATCTTTAAATAAATATGAAGTAGTGTCTTTCCCTTCTTCGGCTTTCCTAGGAAGCATTCTGTTGTCTCTTAACCGTTTAACATTGAAAAATGCTGGGTGGGGGGGGTCCCTTTTCTGCTTTTAAAGGGTACCATCTTTGTGGACGGGGGGAAGAACTGTGAATGTCCTCTTTAAGCCGGCTGCAATGTGCCTCAGTTGATTATAATGGGCGTCAACGTGCAATGCCTTTCACATGTTCTTTGTAATGGGGCTCGGCTGCTCTCTCAATATGAATACGCAGCGGCGAGGACCTGTCATGCTGGGTGTAGTTTCCCTTCCCCACTCTTTTTTTTCCTTCTTTTCCCCCGCCCCCTTCCCTCTTTCCTGGCTAACTTCCGGGAAGCCGATCCGTGATTTTGCAAAAAAAAACCCTAAATTGCAACAACTAAACTAAAATTGATAACGTTACAGACCAGTGCTCACGATGAAGAAACAGGGAGGGGACTGAGATTCTGCTATTTTTGATGTAAATACCTCTTTCCCCACCAAACGCCCCCAGTTAATTTATGTACTTAAAGTCTTCTATGTTTCTAAGCATTTTTTTTAAATGAACAGAGTAATGCTATTTATTTATTGTGAAGGGAATCTCCACATTTAACAAGGACGGGGCTGGACAGATACAATTTTATTTTAGCTGTTTTTTTTTGTCCCTCTAAATAACTAATTCTCAATTGTATTGTGTCATTTCCCGCTAACTCTTCCCCACCCCTTCATCAATGAAGCTGGGAGTAGGTGAGTCTCAAGTAGAATTCTAAAACTCCCGAGTTTCGCCAAAACGAGGAAAAGAACCACATTGTAATTTACCAGGATCCCGGGCGCCTTGGGTCGGAGGTCTCCTCACATGATCCTCGCTTTCATTTGCAGTGAGACAGCTTCTGTACCGACCATCACTCTGTCCCCATCACCAATAACTCAAAGGATGAGGACAATATTTTTCCATAGCCCGATGACCTTTTTTTCCCATCTTCCTTCCGTGTTGCTCAGAGTCCCGGATGGTGAATGTTGACTGGACTTTATGGAGGAAGACCAGGGGAAGGGAACTCGCCAGAAGCTGCCAGCTCCATGTAAATAGCTTAATTACCTGAACAGAAAATGGTGGCAGTTCTGTTTTGTTGTGTGTTGGAGGATCTGAATCTGACCCTTTGGTACACTTATTGATATAACCCCTTTTTTCACTGGATCTAAACCTGCATGGAACTTTTTCATCTTTCTAACACAAAATTACAGCACTCCTGTCATGGTTTTTGAATGGGGTCTTTGATATTGGCTGGTAAATTGAACTGTGCTTAGCTGGGCTTTTACAGTTCTTCCTGTGGAGACATGGGTATCTCTTCAATATTGTAGCTGCTCGTTAAATTCTTGACTCCAGATTAGGAGAGCCTGCCACTAACTTTTGAGATGGACTGTTTTTCCTTTCACTATTTTGCCTTGCATCTACAACAAAGTAAAATGGATGCATGCATTAGACAAGAACTTCTTCTGATTTACAGGTAGTTAGATCCTCCTTTTGGTCTTCTGGCCAGGCAGTGATTCAGTCTTTTCTTTGTGGGAACATAAGAATCTCATGGGACTTGAGACCACTTTTTTCCCCAGTAAGTTGTTCACGTGAAAAAGAAAAAGTTACGTATGAAAGTTAATCAAATCAAAGGAATTTTTGTGGCCTTTTGACTTTCCACGACATGTCGGCTAGGCCAACGCTGCTATTAATTATTCTGGAATATTCAATGTAAATTTAATATTACTGTGGTGTGCACGTGAGCATTTATGTAAGTTTTTGTTTACTTAAATAATGTTGCAAATGCAAACTGCTTGTAACCATCTCTCAAACCTATTTGGGAGTAGGTTATATTTCAGTGTTATTTATTTTTTTTTCTACTCTCTAAGCTGGTGAAATAGGAATAATTTTAAGTTTTGAGCCTGCCTTGCACCATTCACCTTGAGTTTAGACTGATGTTTGGGAGTGTATTTAAAAAGAGAACTTTTGCTTCTATGCTTGAATTACTGCTTTGTTTCTGAGATATTATGTATAGAATGTGATCAAGACAGTTGGGACTTTTTGACCGAAAAAATGTGCATGTCTCAACTTTTTTTATTTGTCACTTGTTCCATTTCTTTTAAACATCTAGGAGGATTGGAAAACCTTTTCTTAAAAAAATAGAGGTGGGGGGAAGTGACAGACTAGAATTTCAGAGCAAGTCAATGAATACCTGACCAGGTATAATGATTCCGTATCTCTGGAGATCTGTTGGAATGTTCTCCATACCAAGTTCTTTTCCATCATCCAGTCTAAAATTAAATATTGGCACAAGCTCTGCTTCAACCACTAACCATAAAGTTAATTCCCCAACCTCCCAGCTGAAGATCTTTTTTTTTCTCTCAACGTGCATTTAATTTTGTATATCTAGCCTGTTTTCTTTCTCATTCATGAGATGTTGGCATTGTTTGTTGGGCCGGCATTGACTGCCCAGAAGTCAGTTAAGGGTCAACCATGTTGTTGTGGGGTCTGGATTCACACATAGGTCAGATCTGGTAGGTGGCAGATTTCCTTCCCTAAAGAAAGTGAACCAGATATTTGTCATGGTAACTGACTGACAGTTACATGGTCACTATTATTCCAAATTTTTATTTCTTTTATTCAAATTACACCATTTCCGATGGTTGCATTCAAACCCATGTCCTCAGAAGATGAGAATCTGGAGTTCTGGATTACTAGTCCAGTGACGGTCTTAACCTGTCAGTTTCTGAAACCATTCTGCTACTATCTTGCCTGTTGTGACATCTAACTGTCCAATATCATCAATCAAGGTGATGTTTGCCAGACGTCTCTCAATGGAGACAGTGTTGTTTTTGAATTGCTCAGAGTAAAGTCGGAAGTCCCATCCTCCTTAGCCACTGCCCAAAGAAGGCAAACAATGGACTCGTTATTCATCTCATTGCTGTATCCATTGTTGTTTCACAAAAATGTCACTGCCTCTTAAATCTTTTGAGGCATTTTAACAGTACAACAAGGCATTTTTAAAAAAAAAAAATCAATGCAAGTATTTCTAGCTTATGATTTTCATCATTGACTTTTTGCCAAGCTGGAACACATTGCTCCTAATGAGTGATGCTAGAACAATCCTAATTTAAATTTGGTTCAGAATAGCAAATCTTTGAATAAGTAGAACTGACGACCATCTTTTAAACAAAAAGTCAGGAAATTCCTGGAATCTCCTTCTATCCTTCAACTTAATACTACTGGAAACTATTACACATGGATAGGGTTTTCACAGCTTCTGCCCCCTCTCATTCCTCCACTACCCCTGCTCCTCCAATCACAGATTGGTTCTCCCCTTCACTTACTGTTGATAGGCTCATTAGTATGCCTGTGACATTGTGCATGGGAGAGAAAGGACCTCTGATTACAGGAAGCAGCATTTCTATTTGTTCTGTGATGATACTTGTGTAAGGTTATGCCATTATTAAGAATGGGGACTTATGAATGAACTGTACATTTGTCCACTAGTAAAGCAGCCTGGTTCTTTTAAAAGCTGAAATAGTCTTACTGGCCATATGTGGTTCTTGGGCCAGAGGCACTCCAGGATAATGGTAATGCAGTGATTATATTACTAGTTCAGTAATTGAGGTTTGAACTAATAATTCACAATGAATTTGTAACTTCACCAAGATAGTTTGAGTGAAAATGCTGTCATCAGTAAGGTCTCCATGAGGCTGCTGAATCTTCATAAAACCTAACTAATGGCTTTTTTTGTTTAGGAAGACCAATATGACATCCTTGTCCATAACTTCAGTCCACAGCAATGTTATTCACATTTTACTGCCAAGCAAATCACACAGTTGTATCAAACTACTTGGAAATAATAGTGATGGGTTTAAAAATTGCTGACTAAGTGATGCCCGCAATGAAAATAATATATTTTTTAAAAGAATCCATCTATTTTAAAAAAAACATAAATTGAATTCAGCTTGGCTTCCAGCTAGTGGTGAAATGGAGACCTCTTACTGAGAAATGCTAGCAGATTGGAATTGACCAATTCTGGTAACCAGTGCACACCTGCTATTTAAAGATATCCTCAGAAATTAATCCACAGATTTGACATTCTCCCACATAGAATGGTGATTTCTGATTTGAATTCCTGATACATAGTTCATGGTTTAACCTCTGTATGCAACAATATCACTGTGGAGATATAGTGTGAATACATTCAGGGTTCAAATGTTAAATTATTTATTGTAACTTTTATCCTGAAACATTGAACAAAAATTGCAAGACATATTAAATGGGTTAGTTAAGTACTAAGGTCAGTCTTAAAGATCATAGGAAGCAGAGAGAGAGTTGACACATTATATTGAGGGATATGGGTTTTACTGGCTAGGCAAGCATTTATTGCCCATTTCTGGTTGCTCTGGTGGAAGTAGTGGTAGGCTGCTTTCTTAAACCAACTGCAGCCCTTGGTGTACAGGGACAGGAACAGGACTGTTAGAAAGTGCAAGGACTTTGACGCAGCTACAGCAAAGGAACAGCGATCTAGTTCCAAGGGAGGGAAGTGTGTGGCTTGGAGGGGTATTTGTAGGTGATGGTATGCCCATGCATTTGCTACTGTTGGTGGAAGTAGTGGTTTTGGAAGGTACTATCAGTGGAGACTTGGTAAGTTATTGCAGCCCATCTTATACATAGTACCCTTCATTAGTCACTCAAGTCCAGTCACTGATTTAATTACAGTATAACTAATGTTAGGTGAAACTAAAAGCTTGATACTTTATCAAATATGTGGAAAAGTATTTGTTCCACTGAGTCAAATTCCAACCCTGGATGTGAAGTATTAGCTCTCCTTCCTTTCGTTGACCCTCTGTGGTTCTCTCCTGTATTGTCTCAGTGGCCTTGCTGCAGCATCATGTATGCTTGCTGCCCCTTCAGAGACCATTCTTGGCTTGCATCCTTGGATGACATTTGGAGATGGGATGGGCTGTTCCACTTCTGTTGACAACACGATAGAATCTGCTGAAAGGACTTTTTAATTCTGCGGTTGTTGACTTGCTCGCCGAGCTGGCTTGTTTTTGTTCAGACGTTTCATCACCATGCTAGGTGACATCATCAGTGGAGCCTCCGATGAAGCTTATACAAGATCCCCGCAACTTCATCCACGGATGTCTAAAAAACAGACAACAACAGGAGGACACAGTACGACCTTAAATACTGGCCACACTGCCTACTTCAGGAACATATCAGAACTGACAACAAGACTCCTAAGACCACTAGGAATCATGGTGGCCCACAAGCCCACAGCCACTCTACGACAAACACTCACAAGGATTAAAGACCACATTCCCACAACATGCAGAACCAATGTGGTTTACAAAATACCATGCAACAACTGCCATAAACATTACATCGGACAGACAATGAAACTAGCCATCAGAATACATGAACATCAGCTCGCAGCAAAATGGCACGATGAACTCTCCTTAATATCTGTACATTCAGACAATGAAGGCCATCAGATTTACTAGGACAAGGTAACCATAGTAGCCCAAGCGAAACATAGACACGCATGGGAATTCCTAGAGGCATGGTTCTCCACCCATACTTCAATCAACAAACATAGAAATGAACCCCATATACAAACCCATACAGATCAAAACTGGAAATGACAGTACTCACCATAACGGACTGGACAGTATAAATTCCAAGTGGAGTAGAATAACATCGCTTCATTGGAGGCTCCACTGATGATGTCACCTGGCATGGTGATGAAACATCTGAACAAAAACAAGCCAGCTTGGCGAGCAAGTCAACAACCTCATCCACAACCCGAGCTACAGATCTTTGCCAAAACTTTAATTTTAATTCTCTTTCAATCTTCGCACGTACTGTCCAATCTATTTCCAGCATGTTCTGCTTTTATTTCAGATATCCAGCATCTGCTATGTTTTGCCGTAGTACTGCTGTGGAATTGTTCATGAAAGGTCCAAAGTTTAGAAATGTAGAAACAGACCATTCAGTCCCTTGAGCTTATTCTGCCCTTGAATCAGATCATGACTACTCAACTTCAACTTCAACCTTTTTTAGCTTCAAATCCCCTGATCCCTTTGCACTTATCCTGAGATTTATTGGTCTCAGTCTTGAATGTTCCAATTGTCTCAGAAAAAAAGTCTCATGATTTCTGCAGGACTAACCTGAGTGTGCTTGGATAGTGATTACCAGCTGTTCTGGGAGCCAATCAATGTCACCAAGAACTGCCAACGTGATGACAAAATGGAATCTGTTCTCTTCCAGTAAGATAGCTCATACGAAGTAGTTCATCTGCATTTCTGCTGATAAGACCAATTTCATATATAGAATGATTGAAATCAATCAAGAAATAAGTAGCTTCTTGATATACTGACCAAATCAAAGGAATTATAAAATCAACAAGGACTAGAGGTAGCAATGTGACTGTGTGTTTGTGCTAGTTCTTTAAATGAATGGGCAATTAGTTCCACTACACCACTTTTATCCTGACAGCCTTCTTAAATTTTGTAGTGGATATATGTAATTTCAATTTCAAAACCTATAGAATCCCAATTTTGGAACAGTGAGGAGGAAATAAATTTAATCTGTGTCAAGTCTATGCTGGATTAAATTGAGTGCTTGATCTTGACGCTGAATAATTCAAACAAGATTAATGCAATTCATTCATAACTATACTTTAGAAAAGGCAGCCCCATCTGGATCTGAGCCAATAAGCAGATAGAAGCCATTTGGCCCATTGAGTTTTCCTACCCATAGCCTTATATTTACCGTGGCCCACCAACCTAACATCTTTGGAGTGTTGGAGGAAACTGGAGAACTCAATGAAAACCCACACAAACATAGGGAGAACGTGCAAAATCCTCATAGACAGCCATTCAAGGCTGGAATTAAATCTGAGTCCCTGTGCTGTGAGGCAGAAGCATTATCCACTGTGCCACCCCATAAGCCGCCATTTCCACCCCCTCCAGCAGGCTGCCATCACCAGATGCACATTCCCTTCTCGTTCCAGTCAGCATTCTTTGGGGCACCT